TTCTCTTCCTGATGTTTAAGTATACATTACCCTTTTGCTTTCATTTTCTCTAGCACTTCGTCGTTGCTCGCATGTCCGGCCCATGGTATCCTCAGAATCAGTGCCGATTCAAATTCTGACAGTCTGTTTCGTTCTCTTTACGATACTGATTGATTCGTTTTCTACGGTTTATCAACCCTTTGCATGTTATTTAAAGCCACAAGTTATTTTTAGATTGTTAGAGATTTTGGGGATAATGCTGGTTTTTACTAATCCAAATTTTGCTAATTAATCTATAATTTGGGTTGAGAAGCGGTCGATACATACGTTTTCCAAGGATATTTGAGTGCAAGTAAATATAATAAATAATTCCATCTGGAATTGGAAGCCGGTTCGACCATTTAACAATTCCGAGCTGTTATCCATTACACCACCCGCACACCCTAGCGTACAGCATCTCACATGGTATTCCCCAGAAGCCATCCATCTAGGTACTGACCAAGTTAAATGTTGCTTAACTTCGATGATCGCACGAGAACCGATGTTTCAACGTGATATGACCTTAAGCTTTCCAAGGTTTGAATAAGATCAACAAAGGGAGGGGATTAGTATGTGACCCACCCTAACCTTATATATGGAAAAAGAGTAGCCACCGTTTACTTGAGGGTGGGGGGGGGAATATTTCACCCGAAACAACTCTCAAACTGGATAAGGGATACACAGAGAAAGAGCTGAGAGTGGGAATAATATTTAATCTCTGCATGAGGAAAATGTGTAAAAATAAAAATAAAAAGTAGTCTCTAGCAAGGGATAGAAAATAAAACTGAATATTACAATCACTCATTTATTTAAGAATAATAAGACACTATTGGGCTGGGTGCTAAAACGAATTTCTCCTTTTCATGACACTTCAAGCCTCTCAACTCTGACTAACTATTATATAGGAATAAAGTGTTGCTGCCGACTATTGAGTTTGAACATAGATCGCCAGTGAGCAAACACAGGGAATCCATTATTGAATTAATTAGACCACGTGACCATAAAGGAAACGCATATATGTAGGAAGTAGCTGACGACTAACGGTCTCTGATTCTACTCTATCCTCGATTACTATACGGACCGCTATTCTCTTCACTATACTATTTCCTTTTGGATGACTATACGGATTAGTATTCGAGCGAATATTATTAAGCAAGTACTATTAGTGCGAGTGATATTCAAAGGCGTCTGACGCCAGTATTGTTCAACGGCGTTAATATAGTTGTATCTGCGATTACAAAGTCACTACTACAACGAGCATTACGAAAGTGACAATGAGTATTCGTTGGCATTACAAAAGTGTCAAACGAGTTTTTGTTGACATCACAAAACAAACTAAAGTCGTTCGGTTTTCCCACCTTGCACGAAAATCTACTGTCGATCCTCTTCAATATATTGGAACACGTTCTTATTCGATTTTGTTTGGCACTATTCTCATTTTGAAAGTGAAATTGTATAGTTCGATGAATATCCAAAAATAGAAAGAGGAGTGAGACAAGGTTGCGTTTTCTCACTGGACGTAATGAAAATGATTCTGAGAGAAGTAGAAAACACCGATTTATTATCGGTTAATCTAATCTTAACAACATAAGATGCTCGGATGCCATTATTAATGGCAGAACCAGAAAAAAAAAATGGTGAAAACACACACACACACAAAACTCCGATAAAGGAACAACAGAAAAGTTTTAGCTGAAAGAAGTCACAATGAATAGTTGCCAAAAGAAAAAAAAAAAAGAAATGCACAAAGTGCATGCTAGTTATTGGTGATCGAACAGATATTGATTTTAATTTTCTGTGTAGTGTAGTTATTGATTTTATTACGGATTATCAACCGTTTGAAGGTTGGGTCGTGTAGTAATAGACGACGGAACATATACATAAATGTATATATATGTCAAGGCGCACAGAAATGACGAAAGATACCTTCTAGAAACTAAAACTATCATAACAGGGGAAATATTCTCAGAAACGAATAAAAACTGCTAAATTCCTATGTAATATCGAATAACGAAAAGACTTTAATCGACGGACATGTGGTTTTAGCAACGGACGCGAAGGATATCACTGAAAATATGAGCAAAGAGGAAGTTTTTAGAAGAAAAAAAAAACAAGAACTACACGGAAACTCATATTTATAATCAGAATGAGATATTTGTAAATTTCTGGGACATGTAATGAGGAAAGACAGCGTAGAGAAAGCAGAGGGTAAAAACAACGATTTAGATAACTTACGAGTTAGTGTGGTGGATGGTAAAACAAGTATAAAGAGACATGGGAAAGATTCAGAATTTACTTAAGGTAATAAAAGTCAGGAAATCGTGGAAAGCCATAATAGTTCATGTTAACAAGGGAATTTTCACATAAAATAAGAATAGTTGAAGAGTAGTTGAGAGTTGCGATGAGTAGCAAAGATGATGAAAGATGAAAAGAGTCCAAATTAAGTTTTACGTTTTTGTTTCAGCCATTTTTTTTAAGATTAAAAGCACACGCAAGGCGTATAAGATTATGTATAATTTCAAAGATTATTTCATGCTCTTTCTATTTAATTCATTCTTAAATATACAAATTGCATTTTCCGATCATTCAAGCTAAAATGTCAAAACAAGATTTATTTCCATGATTTTAAACTCAGCAGCAGAAATGACTCGAAGCAACAAAAGTGTTTAGAGAGAAGGATGGGTCAATAAATGGACAGTTCGTTTCAAAACTTCCATTGATGAAAGTTAATTCTTGAAGATAGGAAAACTCGTAGGTGTTCTGTCATTGATGTCGATGAACTGAAGACATCGTTCTTCGCAGAACTTTGCCAGAACTTGCAGAAGAGCTACATCTAACTGTTGAAACTTGACTAATGCATGGAATAATAATGCAACACAAAATGTACTTAGAACAAAATGTATTGAAACAAGAAAGTGTACACAATATTTACATATAGTCTTTTGTATATTCCTGGGAAGACCGTTCCTGGAGAATGTGTTGACTTAGTCGCAGTCAGGCAGAGTCTCTGGATTGAATCTCTTGATTCCTGTATTTATCTATCCACCCACGAGGATAAAATGTGGCACAAGGCCGGTTTAAAAAGTGGGTATCTCCGAGCCTGTAGGCTCGGCCAAAATATGGCTTTTCTGAACCCGCCTAGACGGGTTCAAGACCTGTCTACCACCCCGTACGAAACCCCTGCCTCTCGAAAAGCCTCGTCCGGGTCCCTCACTGCAAAAAATGCAGAGAGTTCGACTGAGAGTGAATCTCTTGATTCTTCCTCTCTTCCGGTACCAACCATATTTATATGGTCGGTACTCCACTATGCAAATTAGGTGGATCCTACCACAACACTAACAATAGAAACAAATTCTGAAAACTGAATCATATTTGAAAGACGATGCTTGAAAAATGGGGGCCACACGAATTTTACGAAAAATACAATATAAAAAAATAAATAAATAAAAATAAATAAATGGACGTTCTTTTGTTTTTGTTTTTAATAATTTCATCCCAAGTAAATACCACTAGTATGCATGGGGTTACAGGGAGTGTAAGTGAAAGAGAAAACTGGGAATATGGAGGATTGAAGAAAAGATAAAAGATGAACAGTATTCAAGAAGACATAAGATGGCGGCTGATATTGCATTTAAAGTTTTGAAGATTGTAATTATCAAGGAAGCAAGTTATGAAGTTTGATCTTTGCTTCATTGACGGAACAAGAACGAACCATTTCTTGATCACTTTGTGACATGCGATGAAAAGTGGAGACTATACAAGTGGCGCCGTTCAGTTCAGTAGCTGTACTGGGATAAAATTCCTAAACACTTATTGAAGATGAAGATGCACCGAAGCAAGATGCACTCGGGCAAATATACTACAGGTTTTTACTGTTGAAAGAACCTGAGCAGAGAAGAATTGTCGGGAAATCGTTAAAATGCATAAGAACATGCAGCGTATGTGTCCAGAATTGGCCAACATTTTACTTGACAATGCTCGACGACACGTCGCACAGTCAACTCTCCAGAAATTTTTATATACGTAGAGAATGTTCATATTTTTTTTATTAATGTTTAACCAACACACACTTAAGGTAGAAGATTACTGAATAAGTTGCATGAAATGGAAAAAGTCGGTACGGAAGTTTTTGAAGATATGAAGGATAGATAACGACTTACCCTAAATTTGAAGAGGTCCACATTGTAGTGTTCAGAAAAGTAGCGGTATTTAGGAACAAGTTCTCAGTGTGTAACGTCATTCTAAGCAATGAAATACGAGAAAAATTAGGATAATTCGAACATGTTTTTTATTTCGATCAATAAAGTTTATTCTGAACTGAGTTATGTCATTTTAAAATTAATTTTTCAAAACATGCATTAATTTCTTGACATCGTTATAAAATAATATTAACTAAGATGTTCTATGTTTAAGTGTATCACAGAAAAATCAAAGTTTGGCCAACCGTTTTCTTGTATTTGTAGGAGAAAAATTTACAAATCTATGTTGACGTTACTTATTGATCACGGTAATTTGGTTTTATTTGCTAAATTTCTCTTGATACAAAATAAAATTCTAATTAAAAAAATAAGTGAAAATATTGCTCTTTGCAAAAGGATGAAACAAAAGAAATGAATCAAAACGTATGCTCAATAGAAAAAAAAAGGAAGCATTTAGTTACGCCAAATATTTAATTAACTGAGAAAGAACTGTCAATTGTTCTGATTGCTTTACGATTTTCGTTGCCTTTTATGAATTTTTGTAAAGGTTTGGTCAATTAAAAATATTTTTAGCTGTGATAAAAAAAATGTAATATTTGGTTGGTCGCCATTTTGAGAGTTTAGAAAGAAAATCTATTTAGCGAATTGTTCCAATTAATGAACACAAGACATTCACTAAAAGCGAAACGAAAATGGATTCTTTAATAATTTTTACTTTCTCTGTTCCTGCTTTTTACTCTTAATTATTATTTGTTATTGTTATTTTTCTTTGTCTTTATCTAGATATTTCGTCCTTTCATTCAGCTTTCTAACCTATTCTTTCTTTACTTTTTCTTTATCATTCAGACTGCAAAATCAAATTCTTTGTTTCTTTTCTCTTTCTGTTGCATTTATTCGTTTCTTCTTCAACTTTGTCTTCTTTCTTTTGTCTCCGTTCTATTTTTCTTTATTTTTTCTTCAGTTTTCTTTTATCTTTTCTGGTTCTTTATTTTTAATTTCGTATTTTCTTTACGCTAAAATCGGTTAACGTCTTTTAACTTTCCTTCTATATTCTTTCACTATTTCATATTTCTTTTATTCTTGCTTCGTCATTTTTTTTTGTCTAGATTTTTCGCGTTCTTTCTTTTTTATTTCTGCCAAAATCATTCACCCCTTTTACACTTCTTTTAAAAATTCTTGTTTCGTTCTTTCTTTTAGGCAATATTTTTACCCAGATTTCTTTCCTGCTCTTTGTTTCTATCAAAATAATCTTTTTTTCCACATTTTTTCATCTGCTTTCTTTTAACAAGCTTTCATTCCTTCCTTTTGTTTTCTTTTTTTTTTCACCTTCACAACTTGTCTCCTGTTTTCTCTGCTATCTTTTGTTTATCTAGATTTCTAGCGTTTTTTTTTTCCAGCTATATTTCACTTCCGACACCCTAATTTTTTCTTTCATTTTTAGCCGCGAATATTCTTGGAAAACTTTATTCTCAAGTCTGCAAGAGATAATTGTCCTTCTCACTGTAAATCACGACCAACGATCTCATTCGTTTCTCTTTCTTTCGAAAAGGCATTTTTTATCTAATTTTTCAAATGCATCAAGAAAAGAATTAAAGAAGAAATTACTTGAGCCAAACTTTAATACATTTGTCATCGCGGTACCAAACCCGGTAGCCATATTTCATTCCTCGTTATTCTTCTTTGAATTTATCATCACATCTCGCCAAATTGACAATCAATTCTGGAGTTTTATTTTGTGCTTTTTCTTAAAACAATTTATTCATTTAAAAATTCATTTTTTTTTCCATGCTTAAAAATGGCTGCTCGCTTAATTTCGTTATTCAGTTTTTTGTTTTCTCCGTCTCTTTTTGTGTTTTTTTTTTTAATTTTTTTTTTTTTTTTTTTGCTTACTGTGTGATTTGGGTTTTGTTCGCTGATTTTTGTCCGCATTCAAATATTACCTCTTGTAATGAGATTAACATTCTGAAAATCTCTCAGTTCAGTTCCGTGACTTTTCTGGGGAAAGGAATTTATTTTATGTTGGCTAAATCCCCTTTGATGAGATTTTGATTCGAGGGAAACGCATGTAACTCTTCTTCGAGAATCAAATGTGTTTTTTTATTTCATGATGAAAATAAATCATATCGACTTGCAGAAATATCTTCATTTTTTTTTCATTCTTCTGTGAAAGGGCACTTATTCTCTTCCGTTTTTATTCTTACAATTCACTTTATCTATCTCCATTATCTTTCAGATGCAACCACCACGAGTACAGAGCTTCCCAAAAACGTGGATTAAGAGGGTTTTTTTTGCCTATTTATCGATTTAAAAATTCCACAATTCTGATGCTGAGAAACAAATAAAACTAAATTTAGAGAAAGCTGATGATGATAGGAGGAAACGGTGGAGTAAGTCGAATCCAATATAAATTCACTTACGTGCTAATACCGCTGCGAATCTTCTTCTCCCCACCCCCAAATTATGGCTAAATAGCAGGACACACCGGGTTCTATAGCCTTTGATCACAGATGTACTACCGCAGAAAAATAAAAAAAAATCAGCCTCGTCAATCATGTATCGAAAGATACATGATCACCTAAGCGTGTATCACGCATGTTACATAAATAACTGACTGATGAGGATAATAATATAAACTTTAGTAAAAAAAAAATCAACAACCATATAACTATTCTATTGCAATCAAATATATCAGAATTGCTATCAAGAGAATTAAAAAACAGATACGCATCTCCAGTATAACAAACAAAAGTAAACCTGTAATCGTATCTTTAGTAGTGTTGTTTCATTAAAAAAAACAGTATTACACGATATTTGTTATGGATTCCGGGATGAAATCCGGTCTCAAATGAATGACAAACGCAGGAATGAAATATAGCAAATAAATGTATTGACGTAATAACACAATTGGTAATACGATTAGTAGATCCAGAAATGCGGTTAGTAGCAATAATAATATATATACAGTCTGGTAAATTCAGTATCGAAGTATGACATCTTCTAAGTCTACCTGCTCGCAACTGTGACTCATACAAAGCGGTTACCTCACACTCTCAACCTCTCACTGTATCACTCCCTCACTGTCACTTCCGGGTATTCACCGGCAGCAGTACAAGTACACACTGGGCGAGTCCACTTGTATAAAAAGGGGTGGACCCTTAACAATATTAAAGAAGTGCTGAACTTATGTAATATCAATCATCTTATATGGTAGTGAATTCGAGACAATCTTTTCACAGATGAAGAAAAGACTGGTGACAACAGGTATGATTCTACAATGTGGTTCTACAGAAGGATGCTGAGAATTCCATGCTAAGTATGTCACCTTGTGGTTTGTGCTATGGTAATGTAGAAACGATGAACTCTAGAATACCGAGATCAAATAAAGCAAAAATTGAAGTAAAACAAAAAGGAAAAACAAACTTTCACAGTTTTCTTTTCATCTTGATTATGGTTTAGAGGTATTGTCAAAAGCGCTCGATCAAAAACATTTGGTCGATCTTTACTGCTGTGACGGGTACACACCTGGCCCAGGGTCGAATCCTTTGGTTACGGCGCCAACTGTGACGTCGCTCCTCCTGGTCGCTCTTCGCTGTTCCAAGTATGCCGTTCCAACCCCTTGGTTAGATGATCACCAGCCTCGCCTTTCCCAACCCGCTTCCAATACCTGGTTGCTAAAGCAACTGTACTGATCTCCGGTCTGTCTACCCACGTTGTGTTTAGATCTTAGACAGACGGGACCAGCAGGGATTGGGCCGTATGCAAGTTGAGTCCGACGGGGTGGCGAAACACAAGTAAAAGAAAAAAAACTCACGAGACAAAAATTACTGATAAAAAGGGTGACAACCTTTATATCTAATGTCCGTTACATAAAGAAAAATTGTTCTTATTTCCCGACCCGCTCTGTGGACTATGGCACCAAGTTTCTATCATACAACTTAAAGATTTCGAATTGCCTACTCTTTAGAATTATGTATGTCGGAGTGTGGTCTAGTTCGATACTGGGGCTAATTTCTATCAATCATTCGCAGTTGATTCTTCTCTTCGACTTGAGTTGTATTTCTTCACTTCGATCTGGTTGGGTCGAATTCTGTTCTCGGCTGGACTTGATTTCAACTTCTTCTTCTTCCGTCCAGTAACTCTTTGGCCTTGTCTTCGACTTGGCTGCAACTTCTCCGCGGCTTTCGAGTAATCTTCTTCTTCGTCGACTTAGCTGGAAGGATTTCTTGTCTTCGACTTGGGCTGGAAGGATTTCTTGTCTTCGACTTGGGCTGGAAGGATTTCTTGTCTTCGACTTGGGCTGGAAGGATTTCTTGTCTTCGACTTGGGCTGGAAGGATTTCTTGTCTTCGACTTGGGCTGGAAGGATTTCTTGGGCTGTCTTCGACTTGGGCTGGAAGGATTTCTTGTCTTCGACTTGGGCTGGAAGGATTTCTTGTCTTCGACTTGGGCTGGAAGGATTTCTTGTCTTCGACTTGGGCTGGAAGGATTTCTTGTCTTCGACTTGGGCTGGAAAGGATTTCTTGTCTTCGACTTGGGCTGGAAGGAGTTTCTTGTCTTCGACTTGGGCTGGAAAAGATTTCTTTCTTCTTGATTTCTTCGACTTGGGCTGGAAGGATTTCTTGTCTGAGGATTCTCTTGCCCGCAAAGGGCGAGTGAACCGGGTCCGATGCCCGCGTTCAGGCTCTATCCCTGCCCGCGGTCAGCTGCAACTCATTTCTGTCGACTGGGGTCCTGCTTTTATTGACGCCGCAACAAACCGGGGTGGGTTTGCCGGCGTCAGGGGGTTCTCGATAATTCCAATAGCCGCATTATTTCTGTTTTCCCATTATCGCTATTATTTTTACCCCTACTTCCTCATAGTGCCTCTGGGGGAGGGGAGGACGCATACCCATTCCTCCCAGTCTCTCGTATGTCAGATGACCGTTTTCGACCAATGATTCCTGATCGAACATTCCTCCTCCTCTTTCCGCATGCCACGTGACCGTTTTCGACCAATGGTTCTTGATCGAGCATTCTCCCTCCTCTTTCCGCATATCACGTGACCGCTTTCGGCTAATGAGACTGTGGTGGGACGCCTCCCGTCTCCAATCGGGCGTGGCTTACATCGTTCTTGTTAAAAAAAAACAAAAATCCAACTTGGTCTCTTTTGCACGCACGAAAAACGATAATCTCAGCCTTTTCTCACCTGGGTTCTGTCAACACAGCCGCCGCTAATTAGTTATGACTTCAGGAGAATTGTTTCCGCCCTTTTTGGCGTCCTGTGTGAGCCAAAAGCAATTGTCTTTTTCACCCCTTTGTATTCGTTCAGACCTGACAGCCAAAAAAATCTTAATTATCTGAATTGAAATTGTCTCCATTCTATCATCGTGGGAGTTCTGATCCTTAACAGGTCAGAATCTGTACACAATTCAGCGGTCACCCTTCATCCCAAAAGACACCTTTCCTCCGATTAAAATTTCGTTCTCATTGTTCTAAATTTCCCTTTCTCCAAATTGATAATGAGTCTTTCTACGCAAAAGTCGGTCATGTGCTTCGACCGATATTTTTTTATTATCAATACACTCTTATCAAGCATGGTCCCTTCCACTCTCTAAATGACTTTCCCATTGTCTTTCGAAAATCGGCAAAGATGTTGGCCTAAATACCTTTCTGATACGTGTTTTTGTTAATGACCGCTTTTTGTATTTCTCGACCTCTCTCTTTCCTTTTTTCTCCCTCTTTCTCCCTTTCCCTGTTCCTTCCTTTCTCTCTTCCTTTCTTTCCTTTTAGGATCGTCTAAGTACAACTTAGTGAATTATTTTCAAACTCAATTATTCTTCGCCTAAAAAAAAACTAACGACTGGTTAATAAACCGAGTAAAAAAATTATATTTCTATGCATATTTCTTTTTTTTCTAATAATGCAAGGTGCCATACTGCTATTCTATACAGAAAGGCATTATCGTATACGTAATGAGATTATATATATATATATATATATATATATATATATGTATGTATATGTTACGAAATGGACTACGTCCGACAATTATTTTAATATATTTTCTTTTTATACGCTATTTTTACAGATACAAATACTTAAGTAAATGCTGTATTTATAATAAAGAGTATTGACATTATTTACCGGACTGAATTTACGAAGAAGTGCATAATGGCTATTCTACAAAGAATTAAATGAGGATTATGTATTATTTTTTGTATTGTATGAATACATTTTTGTCCATTATAATGGATATATAGGATTAAATCATTGTATCAGTTTTTTATGCATATTTATTTATTATGCATCTGTGTACAGTTAGTTATATGAAAAGTATGTTTATTCATTAAAATTTGTATGTGTACGGATATTAGTTTTCCCCACTGTATATATAT